GGGAATTGGATGACTGGGGCCAAGGAAGTGAGAGAGACAGACTTTTCACTCCACATTTGTACCTTGTAAAGTGATACCTTGTGTGTGTCTTATCTATTGGTGTAAATGACTTGTTTACATAACTGGATTGGTTAAATACATTATGATGCCTTCTATTATGGAATTCAGTGCAGCATTAAAAAGATGGGAAAGGCTGAGCGTGGTGACTCATGCTTGTAATCCCAGCACTTTGGGAGGCCGAGGCAGGATGATCGCTTGAAGCCAGGAGTTTGAGACCAGCCTGGGCAACATAGGGAGACCCCATCTCAACAGAAGAATTTACAAATTAGCTGGGTGTGGTGGTGCACACTTGTGGTCCCTGCTACTTGGGAGGATGAAGTAGGGGGATATCACGTGGGTTCAAGAGTTCAAGACTGCAATGAGCTATGATTGTGCCACTGCACTCTAGCCTGGGTAACAGAGTGATACTCTGTCTATTAAAAAAAAAAAGAAAAGAAAAAAGGGAAAAACAAAAAAAATGAAAAGACTCAGATTCATCGATATGATAAGAAGTCAGGCAGGATGACTTGCTGATTAGTGAAAAAAGCGCTGGGTGATCCAATTTGTGTGAATACACATAACAACACACAGAGAAAATTCTGCAAAGTTGCATAGGCAAATATTAAACATGGTTATATCAATGGTGCTATGGTCTGAATGTTTGTCTCTCCCAAAATTAGTATGTTGAAACTTAATCCCCGTGCAGTGGTGTTGGTAAGTGGGTCCTGTGGAAGGCAAGTAGGTCACCAGGGCAGAACTCTGATGAATGGGATCAGTGTACTTATAAAAGAGGCATTCGAGAGCCTGTTTGCCCCTTCTGCCATGTGAGGACACGTAGAAGTCACCATCTATGAGGGGCAGGTCCTCACCAGACACTGAATGTGCCTGCTCCTTGATCTTGGACTTCCCAGCCTCCAGAACTGTGAGCAATAAATTCTGTCGTTTATTATAAATTACCCAGTCTAAGGTATTTTGTTACAGCAACCTGAATGGACTAAGGCAGGTGATATGATTATGGATGATTTTTCCTTTCTTTTTTATATTTTGCTGTTACGTATAAATTAGTTTTTGCTACCAAGAAAGAGAAAATTGTTCTCATTTTGAAAAGAATAAAAAATCAACAACTTGACAGCATGAATTTGAATTGGGGGAAGAGCAGGGCTGTAACCAACAGAGGAAAGGGCTGAAGTCATTTCTTTCTGTTTTTTTTTTTTTTTAGATGGGGTCTTACACTGTTGCCCAGGCTTGAGTGCAGTGGTGTGGTTATGGCTCATTGTATCCTTGACCTCCTGGGCTCAAGAGATCTTCCCCACTCAGCCTCCCTAGTAGCTGGGACTACAGGCCCATGCTACCACATGATGCTAATTTTTATTTTTTATGTGTAGGGATGGGAGTCTTCCTGTGTTGCCCAGGTTGGTCTCGAATTCCTGGTGTGATCCTCCCGCTTCAGCCTCTCAAAGTGCTGGGATTACAGGCATGAGTCGCTGCTCCCAGCATGGGCCAAAGCAATTTCTAAGTGTTCCAGATCTGGTAATCACAGAGCAGGAGATATATACATATATATAGACATATCTATCTCCATCTCTATCTATCTATCTATCTATCTATCTATCTATCTATCTATCTCATATACATGTTAAATTAGATTGAAAATGACTAAGAACAACAATCTTTTTTTTTTAACCATTGATAGTTTTTCTTCTAAAATTTTAAAAATGTTTAGTAGTCCCCACTGTAATTCTATTGAAACCCAATTTGTATTCTATCACATTTTCTTAATTTGATGTTCTTAATCACAAATAGAGTATTTGCTTATTGCAACATGTGAAATAATACAGAGGTTATGAAAAAGCTAATAACCTACTCCTCCTCACTCCATCCTACCCCTTGAGGTAACTAAACTAATAAATAGCTTTTAAAAATTGGGTTAGACATTACTCTATAACTTGCTTTTTTAACTTAGATATCATGAGCAACCCTCCTAACTAATAGATTAGTAGATGTAGATCTAACCTATTTGTTTTGTTTGTTTGTTTGTTTGTTTGTTTTTGAGATGGAGCCTCACTCTGTCACCCAGGTTGGAGTGCAGTGGCGTGATCTCAGCTCACTGCAACTTCTGCCTCCCGGATTCAAGCAATTCTCTGGCTAATTTTTATATTTTTAGTAGAGAAGGTGTTTTGCCATGTTGGCCAGGCTTGTCTCGAACTCCTGACCTCAGGTGATCCATCTGCCTCAGCCTCCCAAAGTGCTGGGATTACAGGCGTGAGCCACTGTGCCCGGCCTAACCTATTTGTTTTAACACCACTGTGCATTTTACTATATTTAAAATTTTTTATTACACATAATCAAGTTAAACCTAAAATACCAAATCTTCCTTGCCCCAGCCACTACATTTCTAGGAATTTATCCAGAATATGTAGGCACAGACATATATACAAGAGTATTCATTCAACATTGTTTGTAGTAAAAGACCAAAAATAACCTAAATGTCAATCAACTGGGAAATTAATAAGTAAAATAGGACACTTCGTATAATGGATTATTATGCAGCCATGAAAACCAGCAGTAACTCCATGCATTCTGACATAGAACTATGTCTAAGATATGCCGTGTTGTTGAGTGAAAAATGAAACTTTCACAGAAGTGTTTCTAAAATGACACCATGAATCAAAATAAACAGAGTGAAAACACACATATTCTACATGCAAAAACACTCAAACATACACATACACATATGGATATGTATGCTTACAAATAAATAGACTATTTTGGAAAGCATACACAATCTGGTAACAATGTTTACTTCAGGGGAAAAAATACTAGACTGTTGGGTGTGAATGTGGGGTAGGTAAGAGCAGAAGAATTTTTTCATTTTTTTTTTTCTGATTCAAATAAGAATCTATGCATCATTAAAAAATAAACTAGTTGATTTTTAAAAATTGCTACAAGTAATCATGCAAAATAGTTACAAGGCATGATGGCACGGTCCAAGTTCCCTGTGGTCCTAAGTCTAAAAACAGGCATTCTTTATAAAACATTGTACAGAAAAAAAGTATAGAAAATCTCATATCCTGGAGTACATTTTTGTAATGTCCCAAGGCAGGGTTCTTATTCTGGAGTTAGAGGGTCCATGAACTCGGGTGAGAAAAAAACCCTCTTTAAAAAAAAATACAAAAAACAAAAAACCCCAAACTAACCTTTGGCGGAAAGTTTGCATTTCCTTTGATAGGAATGTAGGCAAGCAGCCACACTAGAGTTAGCAGGATTTGTCACCATTAGAAATCAGGTTTGTGATAGCACATTACATTTGTTGCAGATAATCTTGAAATATTTCCACTTGTCAGTACTTCAAAATTATAGTAGCTATTTATTTGACTTGCTGCTAGATCTTGTTTAATATGTTAAAGGACATTTTTTACTCTATAATAAATTTGTTTTTTCAACATTATAACTGTATTTCAATACAATTGGTTTTCTTTGAAATCCTGTGTCTTTTATCTGATGTGTCGACTGTAAGAAGGGGCTTCATCAGATTGCCAAAGGGGTCCGCAAAACAATGAAGCCAAGGAACCTTGGTGTAAAGGTAAATGCCAAAGGGCTGGGGACAAGGAATCACAAATGGGCGCTGTGGGAAGTGTCCCTAGAAGCTGGGAGAAGGGATCCTACCGCTTCCTCTTGATGCCGGGGGCCGATTAATGGCCTGAATATATGAATCAGAGATGTAATTTTTTGTTGCTGTTCCAGTTGGTGGATCCTCCTCCTCCCCAACCAGCTGCCTCCCTGGATCTCCGCCCGGCCGGTGCTGGTGGTGTGAGCCCTGGGGCTGATGCCTGCGAATGACAGTGAGCCCGGCTTGCCCTTGGTCCCATTTTAACCTCCTTTTGGGGCACGGCCAGGGTGCTAAGCTCAGCCTCTAAGCAATGCATGTTAGCCTGGCAGGAAACTCTGTCTTGAAGAATTTCAAAAAGTGTGCAAAACTAAGCCCCAAATTCATCCAAGCAGGAGATAGAAAGCTTAGGAGGGAGCAAGACACTGTGGGCAGACACCCTTGGAAAAAGTTAAATGGAGCTCTAGGAGGAATGGGCCACTTGCATGTGCTAGAACATTCTGTTTCTGAACATTTTGAACTGAACTGCTCATTGGTGCAACTTTTATAGCACAATTGCTGCTCTCGCACCAGAGAGGGGCACTTGAGTGTTCAAAGGGTGGTCAGATGAGCTGCAGGTGGGTGTGCCCAGGAGTGTGCTGTTGATAGAGTCCTAAGAGCAGAGCCTGCCAGTGTGGACAGATTCTACTGTATCCTGAGCTGACTCACGTGCTGTCATGCCAGGAGGGGTGATGATGGCTGGGGTGAAGATGGCCCTCTGCCTGCACTGATTCCAGCCTCACAAGTCCTTAAAACACAGCTCACTTTCCTTTTCCTCCCCCAAATCTTATTTCAGCCCACTCTTCTTTCTGTCTCCTCTGCATTCTGGAGGCACCCATCATTCAGATGGCACCACTTAGCTTGTGCTGAAATTGATCCATTCCTTCATTTAATCATTTATTCCCTAAGTATTTAGTGCTGGCCAGCCATAGATTCAAATCCCAGCACAGCCACTCACTTGTATCATCAGGGCAAGTAAAATAAATGAACACTTTTTAAAAAAAATTTCAGACCCACATTTACAAAACTCCTGCTTCCCACAAAATACACACATGGCAAGTCACATTTTTCCTACTTAAATGGATGATGACTTTGCTCTCTCATCATGAATCTTTCTCTGGACTGTTGAGGCTGTTCGTGCCAGTTTCTCTTTCCTCTCCATCTCAGGCTCTGGCATGAAACTGGGGTACTGTTGGATGTCCACACTGTAAACACCCTTATTCCAGGTTTTAAAACAGGGAGACATTTTTTATTGTTCAAATTGAGACACTTTTGAAAATAAGAAAGGGTTATTATGATAATTATAATTATGCTTTGATAATAGGCATAAAAGGAGACCATCTCAGTGAAATGGGACATATGGTCACCCCATTAGAGAACAGTGATATATTACCCAACAGAAAGACCCAGTGTGTCTTCAGAGCATTCACAAAGCTGGGGCGCCGGTATTTTTGGTGAAATAATCTGATATTAAAGAAATCAAAGTTACCTGCATGGAAAGAATCAGAATATTGTTGGCCTTCCTTACATTTATTTTAGGGCTCTATGCATATGTGTGTGTTTGTGTGTGTGTGTGTGTGTGTGTGTGTGTGTGTACATGTTTTAATTTATAATTTTATTATTCCCTTTTCAATACTGTAGGCCTTTAGAGGTCTCTATCTGGCTCTGCTATAAAGTCACTGGAATAGTTTTCTCTTTTTCTGCTTCTGCAGGGATCAACTCTGACCATATCCCTCTCAGAGGTGAGAGGCAAGTGACCAGGGCTAGTAGGGTGAGGGAATGTGTGAGGGCCAATTGGCAATGGGACAATCTCCCCCAGAGGCAGGTGGAATGGCAGTCTTTTAATAAAGAATGAAGAGGCCGTCCATTTTCAAGATCTACCTTGTGTCCACACGGGTCTTCACCTAGCCAATCCCTCTTCACTGGCTTCATGACCAGATCCAGATCGGCGTTTTGGTTTTAGAATATGAGTCTATGACAGTCTGTTTGTAATGAACTTGTGGTAGTTTCAAGGAATGAGATAAGCCACTTAACCCCTCTAAGCCCATTTCCTTATTTGTTTACCTATTAATTTAATTTTTTTTGAGATGGAGTTTTGCTTTGTCTGCCAGGCTGGAGTGTAGTGGTGCAATCTTGGCTCACTGTAACCTCCGCCTCCCAGGTTCAAGTGATTCTCCTCCCTCAGCCTCCTGAGTAGCTGGGATTACAGGTGCCGCTACCATGCCCGGATAATTTTTGTATTTTTAATAAAGACAGGGTTTCACCATGTTGGCCAGCTTGGTCTCGAACTCCCGACCTCAGGTGATCCATCCACCTTGGACTCCCAAAGTGCTGGGATTACAGGTTTGAGTCACCACGGCCGGCCCCATTTCCTTATTTATAAAATGGGCAAAGCGTGAATACCTATCTGATGGGCCGTGGGAGGTTCAAGTACTGGAAGAAGTCTGGTACACACTGTGTGAATCCTATTGGTCATTGCTAATTTTTTTTTTTTGTTTTTTGTGAGACAGAGTCTCACTCTGTCACCCAGGTTGGAGTGCAGTGGCGCGATCTCTGCTTACTGCAAGCTGTGCCCCCTGGGTTCACGCCATTCTCCTGCCTCAGCCTCCCGAGTAGCTGGGACTACAGGCGCCCACCACCACGCCCAGCTAATTTTTTTGTATATTTAGTAGAGACAGGGTTTCACCTTGTTAGCCAGGATGGTCTCGATCTCCTGACCCCATGATCCACCCGCCTCGGCCTCCCAAAGTGCTGGGATTACAGGCATGAGCCACCGCGCCCGGCCGGTCATTGCTATTTTTATGGAGTTTACTATGTACACATCCCTGGGCATGAAGGACAAGAAGACAATTTGAACTTGGACCCTGCAAAGGTCTGCAGCCTGGCAGTGCTGCAAAAGTTGTGCACATCAGCCTTTATCCCCAGAGAGAAATGTGGCAAGCACCACAAACCAGGGATAAAGGGAGTGATTACTGATGAGGAAAAGGGTGGGATCCAGGAAGACTTCGCGAGAAAAGTGTCAACAGAACCACGTTTACAGACGAGCAGAAATTGGATATTCAGAGGGTATGAGAAACACACTGGTGGGAGAGGGAACAGATGCACAGAAAAAAGAAAATGCAAAGTGTATTTGGGAAGTGGCAAATAATTTTACTTCAACTGAGTGCACTCTTAATTATTCTTCCGGGCTCTGTACTATTCATTCATTCATTCATTCAGCTTGTGTGAACACCCGTGTTAGGCAGAGATTTAGTCACTGCTTAGAAGATGTTCACAGTAGGTAGAGGAGAAAGAGCAGTCAGGAGGTTGCTGGAAAGAGCCCTTAGGAGAGTAGCCTTAGGGCTTCCCTCTTCATGGGACCCTATGCGGCCTCAGCAGGGGCCCTGCAATGCCCCCGCCATGGCCACACAGTTTTCAGAAGTAAGGTGTATTAATGAAATTGGTTATTCCCCTTATTTAAATATTATTCCCATTTCTCCTTATGTAGGTGGTTAATATAGGGGCCATGGACATTTTTGGGAACCAGCTAAGAGCCGAGTTAAGATTGACTTTGTTTGGGTTCTGTTGAATATACGTATGTAGTTTACAGTCTTTTCTTTCTGTGTAGCTAGGTCACCACTAGCCACAGTAACTGCAAAGTGAAAAAACAGCTTCTAGAAATACTCTCTTGCCCACGATGCCAACTCACCTGATCTTGTGGCATCAAGAGGCAGGACCAGAGGCAGATTCATGATGGAAGAGTGTCCCCATGGTGCTGGCACCACACGTAGGTGGGTGGGTGGTGGTGAATCCAGGTCTGAAATGTATGCAGCCAGAAACTAAACTGTAAAAAAGTGCTCTAAATTTTATGTGTTTCTCCAAATTTGATAAAAATCTGAAAAATGTATGTGATATTACCCATAAGTTGTGAAGCTGAAAAAGTCTTCTAAAGCATCAATAATACAAGAGAAATTTTGACTTATCTTGCTAGAAGAACGACCCAATTATTTTTATCTTCTTTACGGTCTCACCAGGATACGGTGCCTCTTGGTTGCTGAATGACGGGCAGCCACATGCTTTTTCTTTCCTCCTTCTCAGAATAAACTCTGGCTTCCCCAGTTTCCTTCCTGTACTTCCTTAAATCAGGCTCAGAGCCCCACTTCTAGGAGAGCCCCAAAGATGAACCCATCTGACTGCCTGCATTGCATCCATGTTCTGTCACTGATCAGCTGGGTAACCTGAGGCAAATCACTTAATCTCTCTGAGCTTCTGTTTCCTCATCTGTAAAATGGGGACAGTACCAGCACCCACTTCACAATCCTGTGGACAGGTATGAATAAGGGAATACAGAGAAAGAACCCCTATCCAGCATGGAGAGCACAGTAAGCCTGGCATTCAATGAGACCTAATAAATAGTAGCTATTAGTATTACTATTATCAAATGTGGTTAGGAAGCACAGTGACTGCAGAAACATTCTGCAGATACGGCAGGAAGCAATTTCCCACTGCTGCCCAGCAGACATCAGTTATTTTTACTAGCCACGCACACACTCAGGTAAAGGCATTTCCTACATAACATATCTTAATAGACTCATCCATGATGGCACTGCAGCTACACACGCACCTGCTGGCATTTCTGTGAGCTGTTTTGCTCCAGCAGGGGTGGGTGCCTCTATGACGGGCCCCACCATCCTGTCGGACCTGGCAGGCATAGCTCTGCACACATCATTCTTCCCCTCCTGGCCCCTCTGCCCCAGACCGCCGAATCTCACAGCAAAGCTGAGGGTAACTCATTCACCCAGCCCTCCTCCCTTCTCTCTTGCCCTCACTTCTTTCCTTCCTCCCGTTTTCCTCACAAATATTTGTTGTGTCTAGCCGCCATGGTGTCTTCTATGATTCCAAGACTTTAGGAGACTCAGTAAAGTTTGAAAAAAATTTCTGAAAGGGACTGACATAAGGTACTAACTTTTAATTTTGCTAAGTAAGATATCAACACACACACACACACACACATGCACACACATACACACACACACACACGCACACTGTTGCCACTAATTACCATCGTTCCATCAAAGAAGTGCTATTTCAGTGTCCCCAAATAGAAAAGACACAGTCTGTAGAAGAAAAAGACAATCGTGTATATGACATACATTTATTTTTTAAAGGAACACAGCATTTTCCTAACTTTTTTTCTGATTCGTCATAAGCCAGTAAAATCTCTGGGTGCCAGATCTCAGATAAATGTTGGAGAAGAAGTTTACTGACAACAGGAATAATATAATGAATGTTTATTGAGTGCCAAATGTGGTATTTGATAGACTCTACCGTTTACTAACTGTGTGATCTTGGGCAAAGTACTGAACCTCTCTGAACTCTAGTTCCCTCACCTGTAAAGACAGGGATGACGATGCTTGCTCTGCAAAGCCTTCCAGGGGTTTCTAGGCACAGGGAGGACTTGTGTGGTGCTGGCTGCATAACAGTCGCCAGGGAAACTTGTTAAAACTAAGATTCTTGGCGCTACAAGGAGAGAATCTGATGCAAGAGATCTACAATGGGGCCCAAGGACCTACGCCTTTAAAAACAGCCCCTCCTCCAGATGTTTCTGATGAACAGCTGGGTTTGGGTTGCTCACAGCCCCTGACTTTTGAGTTGGACTTGTCTACTCGACTTACGTGTGTGGCAGATTGTTCCTAGCATGGTGTGTTCAGAGGAAAATTTTGGGAGGTATCTTGTTTGCTGTGTTCAGCCTCCTCCCTCCCACTCTGTTCCCCTTCTCAACAAATGGTACCTCAATCTACTTAGAAACCCCAGGGTTATTCTGAACACATTTCCTCTCTCATGGACTCTCCTATGCTGTCACCAACCCATCCCCAGGTCCTTGAAGCTGTCTGCTTCTCCACCTCCACTGCCCAGCCTGGTCTAGGTCATCATCATCTCTCACTGCCACTGCAAAGCCTCCTACCTGTCTCGTCTGAAGTGTATGCTCCACACAGTGGCTGCAGTCACTTTTAAAAGATGTGATTCAGACAGTGTCTTTCATCTGCTTCAAACCCTGCTGTAGTGGCCAACGCACTTAAGATAAAAATCTAAAGTCCTTAATGTGGCCTAAAAGCCCCTGCATGGCCCGGCCTCTGCCCACGCCTCTGGCCCTGACACGCACCTGCCTCCCTTCTGATTCTCTGGGCTCTGTTAGTTCTCCACTCTCTCTGGCCTCAGGACTTTCAAGTGTGCCCCTCCTCCTGCCCACACCTTTCTTCCTCTATCAGCTGCCTTCACTGAATTAGCTTCTCCACACTGTTGAGGGTTCTACTTAAATGTCACTGCCTCAGGGACCTGTGATGTACTAACCCCTGTTTTAGAATTCTAGCAGCATCACACTCCTTTTCTTCAAGTCACTTGTTGCAATTTATGTTCACGTTTGTTTGTGCATGTGTGTTTTTCAATATATCTGTGTTCCCCACTGGAGCCAAATTCTGTGAAATATTAACTATTTTGCTCACCATTATATCGTCAGTGTAATGCCTGGACATGGTACCCACTGAATAGATACATATTTATTCGGTGAATGGATGAATGAGTAAAGATGTGAACCCACATCACCAGAAGGGCAAGGTCTCTCCCACTTTTTCTTTCTGGTTGGGGTGACTGACAAAATGTCCAATCCTGAGAGACCCTTGTCATACACAGTACAGGAGAACATTGAGCCGTGAGCTAGAACATGGATGACCCACCTGATATGTCACGGGTTGGTTATTTTTTCAGGAGTGAGCAGGCAGTGGAAGAAAGGCAGCTTTTGCAACAGAAGCATCGTTACTAGTTCTTGACAGTGTGGTTCTGGGTTTCCTGGAGAACATGTGCTACGAAAAAAGGTTGCTAAAAGACAGCAAAAGGGCAAGGCATTTCCTTGGTGTGGTGGAACAGGTATGGGTCTGTTCTGACAGTCCTGGATTCAACTTTTGGCTCTATGACTTATTTGATGTGTGACCCCAGACAGGAAGTTTTACCTCTCTGAGCTTCAGTATATTCATCCAAAAAAAAGGAGCAGTTACTTTTGCCTGTTGGGGTAGCTGTGAGGATTAATGAGATAATGTCTGTAGGAGGCCTAGCAGAATGTCTGGTACATAGTGTGTATCCAATACTGAATACAATCTCACCAGGCTGTAAGCCTCCTTCAATCAGGGGCCATGTTTGCTTTTGGCTTGATAACCCAGTATCTGGTGCAGTGCCTGGCATGTAGTAGATGCTTTAGGAAGTCCTTATTAGTGATTTAATACATGGTCAAATGGGTTTTACTTTAGCAGGATTTCCCTCTTCCAGGATGGAGTCCCATGTGTAAAAACTTCCCCCTTGCCAAGTACTCAAACCAATTGATTTCCTTGTGGGCAACTCAAATCCCTGTGTTTTGAAGTCTCAGAGCTGGAAGATGAATGTGTGTTTGTGGGGGTGGCTCTGTCTTGAGTCATCTCTGAGACCCTTATGCTTGCAGAAGGTGGAAATTTGTCAGCCCCCATTTGAATGAAAGGGCTGGAGGATCAGATCAATGGAGAAAGGGATTCCTATTTTGTTCCAATACTATAGAGAACACAACTGTTTCTTTGAAATTGACCTTCATTTATTTGGAGGGGAAAGCAGTTAGTTCAATAATGGCTTCCTGGTGCCTTCCAGCATTTTAAAAGACAGAAGAAAGATTTGGAGCAAGGCAAGGTTCCAGTGTTTTCTAAACAACTCACTAAGCCCAGCTACTGGTTGGCTGCCGAGCACTTCCTGCTACCAGCCCTGCATCCCCCAACTTCCCCTACTGCTGCAGTGCACATCCTCAATAGCTCAGTCACTTCTTGAGACCCTGACCAGGCCTTCCCCAGGTGGGCTGGAAGTTAGCCTTCATTCTAATGCTGGGCAGCTGAAGATTCTCTGACATCTTGCAAATGGCTCATGGAGTAAGAAATACTACTATATTCTATTTCAATTATTTCCTGTCCCTCCCTGGCCTGTTTCCAGGGGCCAAATAAAGAGGTCCTTGTTTGGTGGAGTCCATCCCTGCTCCTGAGTAAGTGAGCACTGGTCCCTGGTCCAACTTGGTCTGAGGCCACAGGGAAAGGGTGGGGAGGACATGGGGGAGGGTGTCCCAGGTGGGGAGAGGGCAGGAGGAGACAAGAGGCCCTGCTCTGCAGGCAGCCCAACCCTGCTCCCAGAAATAAAAATAAGAGATGAAGAAAAACAAATGAGGCCCCTGAACAGGATCCTGTAGGGGGCACAGCTATTTTCCCTCCTTCCCAGGAGAAATCCCAACCCTTCTCTCCCATGGAGAAAACAAACACAGCTATGGAAATCTTGTGCCATCCTGGCACCTGAAAGTCTATCACCAATTGGAAGTTGCTCCTACCTGCACTTCTCCCTTGGCCAAACACAGTCCTCTCCCACATCTGCTTCCTCCCCTTATGAGTGAAAAGGTTTTCATGGAAAATTTAGAATTTGGAACCTTCTTCAGATTCCAAAGAAGTTATTGTTCTATATCATGCTACTTTTGCTTGGGTGTTATTTCAACTCAGAGGAAGTAGAAACCTACATCTCTATTTTGCTGGAATGCTCTTCGTGAATCATTAAGAAAACAGTAATTAAGTACCCTCTCTGTTTGAAGCTCTTGAGTACTTTTTGAAGCCCATTCCAAACCCAAGTCCTAGAGTCCACATTCCCCACCTTATCCGTTCGGTTTTCAGGGAAGAAGGATGTTGATGGGGTTGGCTCAGGGACAAATCATTGGAAGATCTCTGGGAGATCATCGCATGATAGTCAGAAAGTTTTCATTGCCAGAAGAGAAACAAGATAGCATCAGGGTGGCAAGAACCTCTCACTTCCTATTGTGTGGAAGCTCAGGACCTGAGATGCTAGGGGTACAAGGTCTCAGAAAGGCACAGACAGAAAGGAGAGAGACGATGGGGGTAATGTGAGTGAGGAGAACTGAGGGTGGGCTTGATGACTTAAAGAGCAAGACCCAGAGAGAAGCCACATCATCTCACACTACGATGTGGCTGGGAAAGGTCTGAGATTGGCAGCATTTAAAACCCTGGCTTCCAGGGTGCTGGGGCCTGAAGGAAACAGAGACATTTTCTGGCCAGTGATTCTCAAAGCCTGGTCTGTGGACTACCTCTTCAGAATCATCTGGTGGGCTGATTACCCCTTCAGATTCCTGGGATCCTTCTGACTTACTGAATCCTATTCACCGGGGGTTCGGCCCAGGCAGCTACCATTGTTTATTAAGTTTCACAGGTGATTCTAATAGTTATCAAAGTTTGAGATCCCTTAAGCTGATTCAATCCCCTCTTCACCAGATATGAGACCTGAAGCCCAGAGAAGCAAAGCAAAAAGCCTAGGGCCGTAGAGCTAATTGATGGCAAAGCTCAAATGGGAACTCTATTGCTCCTGATCACCGGAGCTGTGTTCTTCCCATTTCAATATGCTGGAAGCCTCCTTACCTGTTTGGAGCTATTTCCCCTGCCCCTAAAAGCCAAAGTCTGCACCTTTGATCCATTCCTGCATCCTGCTGAGGCCTTCTCCTTCCTGAGCATGCTCTGGTCACAGCCTCTGCAGGCTGGAGAGCAGGGGCAAAGGAAGAAAGGAGAAAGACTCAGTTCTCTTCCAAGACTTTAGTAACAGGTGTGAGATTGGCAAATGAGTAGAGAAAGAGAAAAGACACAGTTATATTGAAGGGGAGATTGGGGTTTGGTTTGTACTGCTCATAGCTAACTTACATTGAGCATCTGCTGTATACCAGATACTGTGCTAAGTCCTTCCTATACATTAGTGCAAACTCCATGGAGCAAATATTAATTAGCCCCATTTTGTAGATGAAGAAACTGAGGCTCATACAGGAGTAGTCATTTGGCCAAGGTCATATGGCTAATGGGAGGCCAAATCACCTCCATCAACTCCATGTACAACCATGATCTTTGTAATGGCCCAATGCCGTGTGAACTGTCATCCATTGTAAACCCAACAAGCCTGTGAAACAACCCTGAGACCTTGGGAAAGAAAAGCAAGCTTCCCTGCAATGGTATGTGATCACGCCTGGGGAGTAGAACTTTTTCAAACGCTTTCCACTTAACACTAACCACTGAAAATATTTCTGAAAGGCGTTAGCCTGCAGGCCTCCTTTAGAAAAGATGACATGGAGAAAAGGTTAGACGGCTTTTGAAAATCTTTTTCTTTTTTTCTTTCTTTTTAAATGGAAACGTGATATCCGTTTGCTTCCTTTCCATTTGCCTTTTTCTCTTGAAAGCATTGTGTCTTCAGAATTTATAGCTGCTTGAGGGATTTGGTTATATTTGGGTCTGACCTGAGACTCCGGTGTGATTGTAGGCATATGTGATCCGTGGCATGTAGCAGCTGTTACCACTCCTGATATCATGGCACATGACTGTGTCATGATAACCTCCCTCTCTTCATTTTCTGTAGTGTCCCCCAGGGATAGGAGAAGGAATCAAAGCAGATCAGTGCCTCAGAGGAAGGACAAGAGTTTCCCAGGCCATGTGGACAGCATGTGACGGATGCCCCCTTTTAGGGTTTACCTACTAACCAGACCTTGACTTCTTCCTTAGAAAACATCAGGTAACCTTTTGAACAATTCAGTTAGTGGGACCACCAAACAAAAAGAAGATGAACACGTTTTCATAAGAGGGGGAGGACGCACTGAATTCCATCTTACCAGGATTTGGTGTCTGTCAGCTAAGGTGAGGGGCAACTATAAATTGATTCTGGGCATTCCATAAATCACCAGAGTTAGAAATATTTTTGGGTAAAAACTAAAAATGTGTGACCCTCTAGTCATCTTCTCTTTCATATCTCAAGCTTTCAATAACTTAAAGTCTGCTTGGGGCTGTGTGGCTGTAAAATGCTCGTATTAACTGATAATGAACGTAGTATATATGGGTGATAGCTGTCAGTGAAGAGGGGAGGGAGAGAATGCAGCCTCTGCAAAGCTCTTGAGAAGCGTGGCTTCTGCACTAGCCCTGGAAATGCTGAATGAATGCTGCCTTTCTGTGTACGAGCTGCCTCCCTGCTTCCCAAATGCCGCATCTGCAGTAACTACAAACTATTTTGTATGCTGCATTAGTGACGCTGCCTTAGCCGACACATCATTACTACTGAAATAACGCCGAAGTGATATTCAAGTCCAGTGTCCTTTTTAATTATTAAACCGAGGCTGTTGAGTGAGTCATTCCCCATACCAGATTTTCCTTCTGTGGTTCTATTTCTAGAAGCTAGTACCTTAGCGTGTTCTACTAACACCTGAGTTGGTTTTTAGCCAGCTCCCCAGTCTGCAAAGCCTTTGCAGAACAAACAATATTATTCAATCTCCAAACACGCACAGACTGCATAAGAAACAAAACCCACAAAAAACTTTAGAGTAAGCTCATCAGTAAACCCAAGGTCCAAAAAAGCCCAGTTCCCCTCCTGCTAGTCCCCAACTTACCAAGCGGTAGAGCGATGAAGAAGGGTAGCCAGCACAAGATGAACATACCGACCACAATGCCCAACGTCTTAGCTGCTTTCTTTTCCCTGGAGAACTTAAAAAGTTTGACAGCTATGGAACTCCTGGGGTTGTGGCCCTTGGCCTTGGTACTGCTGAGGGCGTCCTCGTGAAAGTTCTTGGAGTGGATCCTCAGGGTCAGCTCCTTGGAGTTGGACATCTCCTTCATGACTCCTGCCTCTAGGTTCTTGGTGGTTCTCTTGGCCACTATATAGACACGGCAGTACATGACTAGAATGACCGCCAGAGGGATGTAGAAGGAGCCCAGGGAGGAGAAGAGGGCATAGAAGGGTTCTTCGGTGACCCCACACTCCTTATCATCGTTGGGTGCGGGCTCCTTCCACCCAAGGAGAGGCCCGATGGAGATGACTGTGGACAAGACCCAGACACTGAGCAGCGCCAAGATGGCCTTCCTCCGGGTGACCAGCGTGGGGTACTGCAGAGAGTAGCGCACCCCGATGTAGCGATCGATGGAGATGGCACACAGGCTCAGAATGGACGCTGTGCAGCACAGGACATCCACGGCTGCCCAGATGTCACAGAAGATCCGCCCCAGCACCCAGTAGCCGAGCACCTCTAGGGCCGCTGAGAAGGGCAGGACGGTGAAGCTCAACAGCAGGTCGGCCATGGCCAGGTTGACGATGAAGTAGTTGGTGGGCGTCCGCAGGTGCCGGTTGCAGGCCACAGACAAGATGACTAGGATGTTGCCCACGATGGCGAAGAGGATGAAGGCGCCCAGCACCAGGCCCACAGAGATGGCCCTGGTGATGTCCAGCTGGGGCAGTGTGGAGTTGCTCGAGGTCTGGTTGGGGCCAGTGAAGTTGGCATTTTTCAACTCTCCCCAGTGGGCAGGTGCTGATGTGTTGTGGCCGGTGTCCAGATCGGGATTCATCTTAGAGTTCGCCCTCCATAGCCAGGGGGATGATAAGGCTCGGAAGGGCTGCGGCGAAGGCTCCTCAGCTGCCCTGAAACTTTGCTTCCCCCGTGGTCTTCTTCCCAGAGGCGCCCTCCTGGCGTGGAGTCATCTCCCCCGGGCAGCCCAGCCCGGCAGCACGTCTCCTGCCTGCACCGAGCCGCGCGCTCGCCTGTCAGAGGGAGGAGGAGGAGAGAGAGGGTACGAGGCGGCAGCTCCAAGTTTAATGGTCCACGTCAGGCGCGCCGGGCCGGGCTCGCGGGG